CCACGCGCTTTCTAAACAGCGCCGCAGCAAGCAGCGTTCCTGCCGCTCCCGCCGTAGTTCATCGCTAGGTATCAATAACCTCCCGTAGGAACAGTTCCCCGGAGGCATGGAACGAGACCGCCAGGAGAAAGTGCGTTTCCCTTTCACCTGTCCTTTTCCTTTCTTCGTGCAGGGTCGCATCCCTGATGGTACGATGGAATCAATTTATTTTTGTTAACATTCCACATTCCTCGAAGTTTGCGTATTTGAATGCTTAAGTTATCGTGGCTATTGTAAGTTTGAGGTCTGTACATAGCATCCCCGTTTCTGGGGAGGAAAGTGGTATTTATTTATACAGCTCAGAAGAAACATAGGTGCAATAAATGTTTAAGCTGTCTCTTCAAAAATCACCTTTAAAGGGTAATTTTAATCATAGATCATAACTTTGTGCTTCGTAAAAAATGTAAAATATCTCAAGAATACATTTCAAGGAGTTTAAATATTATGAATGTATTTAATAATACACCTTCAACTTCGCGTAGAGTTACATTGTCATTTTTTCCAAGCCTTAAAAAAAATACTATACTTCAGAGGAAGTTAAATCTCAAAACATGCTGGAATGTAAGGTCTTTGTATCACCGAAGTTTTTGCCAATTTCGGTAGGACTCGAGGTCAAGGACGCTGTGGGTATTACACATATTCAAAGCGTAGGCGTTCAGACTTTCACCGTTGGAGTCGCAACCACCGTGGGACGAAGGCCTTGAGAAACAGTTCACTGTCGCCAACAGAGGTTCTGGCTGGAAATATGCACCTGGTGGTGCGACGAGTTTCTCGTCCAAGGATTCTTATTCAGAAACTCTAGGACATTAAAGTACAGTCGGAGGTAAGAAGGTAAAACGTGCTAATCCGTCAGAAGTGAAGTAATATCTTGCACTTACGACACAATGCGTCAATATTAATAATTCTGACAGTTACCTCTGGATTGAAGAAAATATTTTAGCTGGGTGTTTCCTACTATGATAAATATAAGACCTTTTAGAAATGGAAGCTACTCTAAAACGTACCTCTTGTTGCAATTGTTTTTTTTGTTTTTTTCTACGAAGGTTAATCGAATCAGACAGGCGGACTTTGTTTTAGGGAACGCCTATGGGAAAAATTCATATCGCCTTAGGCATGCAAACAGTGAAAACAATTTTACTGTTTGAACAGAGATTTGCAAATTAGCTTAGAGACGTTAAAAACGCTTGCTTGGAATTTGACTATTAGAGAAGCAAGAAGATATGTTGTATCAAGACTATTTCTCAGGGAAACCATTTATTCAGTTGTTACTAGTATCAGCGTTAACAGATACAGAGGAACATCACTTTTCCTTAGCGAAGTCCATTCCAAGGGGTGATGTTCTGACATCCAGTTGTGAGATTATTGGAATTCTTGTGTTAGCGCTGGCATTTAGCGAGTCATCCCAGAGCAAACGGTCAAGACTTCCGCAAAAGAGATTTCAAGCGCACAGGTTTGTGTGTTTACTTAACCCAACGCTATCCTCAAGGAAGAATCTCGTGGCACCATAGTGAAGAAAGAATTCGGAGAACGATCATAAACATTATAATAAAACGAATTCATGAGCCCCCAAACTAAAAAATGCTCTTCTCTGAAGCTTATCTCGCATCACACAGTCACGAACTATTGTGTTTCCTTTAGACAAAGTCATCTCGCAGAAAGTTAAAATAAAGTTATTTGCACGCAAATTCAACTTTCATACATAATATGAACATGGGTTATTCTCGTTTTTATTATCTACCCCACACAAATCTCTATTGTGCGTTTCACAAAACATGCAAGTCAATTCGTATTTCAAAATTTCAAATTGATTTACACCCTCAAAGGAAGGTCATTTTCTACAAAAGTCGGCATGAGAGGTTGTACTCAAGTTTACGGAACATTCTTCATACTTCCTTGAGCGTCCCCGACAAACATGCAGCGGTCGCAGAGCCACATGCCGAGGTTCAAACAAAGAGTCCTGGAGCGCATCGAGGTTTGCGAAGGAGCCCAACCACCGCGTCGCGGCGTGGCGTGGCGCCGTGTGGCGTGGCGTGGCATGGGGGGGGGGGCTGCGAAAGTGGCACAGCGCGACGCGAGCCTCGGCGGCGCCGCGGAAGAGAAGACGGCGCAGCGCCGCGCGCACACTGGTCCGAACCTGGGCCAAATCCGCGTTCCCGCATATAAAAAGTTTGGACAAAAATTTTTTTAAAAAATGTTATTCGCAGAAACATTGAATAAAAATTAACTGAAAAATTATTGCATTTAAATATATTTAAACTCGAAAGATTGTCTTTAATGTTAGACATTTAGGTCGGAACATCTACCAGTGCAATGACAATATATGAATGTTTGATTGTTTATATCTTAGTTGTTTGATGACAGTTTTAATTTATAGTACTTGAATGCAATTGTTTGTAACCTAAATATGTTTTTAACTTTCTGAATGCTTTATTACATTATTCCGAATTAACTTACTGGGCCATAATTTTATATTTTTAGTAAATAAACTTTGGTAGCCTATTTTTAAAAAATCATCAGAAAATTGGGCATTTTATTATTAATTTCACAATTTATTCCTGTGAGACAGTGGCCCCGATCTGCTCTTGGGAAGTGTGACTCTTTGAAGAGTGTGGGCCACGATGTAGATAATGGACTTCATTTTCCACTAATTTGGTTTCCACATTTAACAAATAATAAAAATATTTTGTAGCAAATGTGTACGATTCGAAATTAAGCGCGAAGGCAGATGTGTATGCCTTGCTTGGACCTATGACTACCTTGGACCTCTGAAGCCGAAGCTATCCTTCGATTTAAATTAGTGGATCCTGATGTTTGAGCAGCTGGACGCAGTTCTCCAGTCGAGAGCTTGGTTAGCACTTGAGTAGTGGTATTGATTGGATAACCGCGTCTCAGCTGATCGTACGTCAGAAATCACTATTTAAAATCGGAGAAGAGCAGCTAAGCTCTCCGAAGGCGGGCGAACTTGCTCGCTAAATGTATAGAATAATGAAGTCACGGGAAAGCTGTATTCGCGTTTATTTTTCATAAGCAACATAATACTTCAATTTTTTAAGACAACGTATGCATTTTAAGGCACCGATTTATTTTTGAATTAGTCTGTAATTAATTATACACCAGTTGCATTCGTACCGTTTCGGGAATATTTTTCTCAACATCTATCCTACACTCAAAACCCTTAGGCAACTCACACATGACACAAATTATAGTGTCCTGTACATGTGGGTTGTCTAAGGGTTTGACAGTAGGATGGAGATGGGGGAAAACGTGTTCTCAAAACGTTACGGAAGCAAGTGGTGTATAATTAATGACAGACCGATTCAAAAATAAATCCGTGACGTAACATGCATAAGTTGCCTTTAAGAAATTGAAGCATTATGTTACGCATGAAAAATGCATTGGGATAAAAGATTTAAAATGCCCGTGTTGCGTGCGTGGGTTGCGTGCGAGCGTCGCATGCGCGCGCCGAGGCCCTTTCCGGCCCACTGTGCGGCTGGCGGAGAGCCTGCTCGCGGAGGAGGCACCTGGCGAGCAGACTTCCTGCCTCCCTGCAGCGCCCAAACCCGGCGCGACGCGGCGCGACGAGACGCGCTTGCTGGCGTCGAGGGCGAGCCCAGGCGTCGCATGCGACTGGATGCGTCTCGCGCATGTCGTTGCACAAGAAAAGTGACACGTCTCGGAAAGTGTCATTTTGCAGCGGAACGGTTTCACCCTGAGTGGAGCCGTGTAATTTGCTCCCGAAGACACAACGTTTGATTCTATGTACCGGTAGCCTTGTAACCTATATTTTTACAACCAACAAAAACTTAGAATTGATTTGTAGTGATTTAACTCAAAACGAAGTTTTAGATGGGTCACTTGCTTGGCGCCGACTACATTCACTTCCTTGAAGTGCCATGTTCCTGAATGTTGCTGAGCAACCACCAGAGAACTGGTGAATGGCCTTTCTAGACAGTTATGCTACACTGATCCAAAGTCTGAAAAGATTCAACGACATCTGCTTTACTCTACAATTGTGGCTTCGAATCTCCAAGGATTGACTTACTAGATAAGCACAAATCAATGCTTATCTTAATCATTCAACATCTGATAATCGTTAAGTAATGTCGATCATCAGTTTTGTACCTGGTCTCCTACATTCCGATACGGAACTAGAAGAATATATTACGAGGGAAGCAATGGTTTGCTTTACTTCCTAACTCGAAATAACAAGCTAAAATCATTGGTCCCTTAAGCCACATTGAAACTCACGGCCATAGTTCGGAGTCGTCTCCACAACAGCCTATGTCATCTTGTGTGTAACCTTCAGCACAAATGATTTTCGTAGGACATTGGCCATTTTCCACGACCGAGAGTGACAGCGCATTCAGAATCAACAGTCGCGCACTTCGTATGACACACTGATACCCTTCTGATGCGCGATGTCGGACAAGGGTTGTTCGCGCTCTACAGGTACATGGAGAACGTATTATAACACACAATCTAAGGCGGAAGTAGAAACAGTAAGGGACCCTATATGGATTATTAGGTCAGATGAGTACCATTTGGAAATACCTAACTGCGAAAATGGAAAATCAGCGTGCTTGAGTCATAATGGCTTACAAGAAGCACTGCTTACCCACTAAAAATTTAGCAACATGACCCACTTCATAATCAGAAAGCAGGGCGGAAACACTGTTTCTCGAATGTTTCTCTCATTATCACCCTTATCAAAAGCTTCATCACTGAACTGATCACACCAGGAAAAAACAGTAGCTGGGGATATGGGACATTCCTCTCGATCTGGTCACGAATTTCGACGTCGACAGGCGATGTCCCGAGACGTTGAGTCACACAAAGTAACACATTCGACACAAAAACAACTTCTTCACATCCCGAACGCACATTTTCGGCTAATCACGACGCCGAAAAAGAGGACGAGTCACGGCCTCGCCGCCGGGGGCAGTGGGGAAGCCCGCGACAAATTACGCCGTCCACGGCCCATTGAGCCCGAGCGGCGTGGGCGTCTGGCCGTCTTTACCTTCGCTGTGTCCCCCGGTGCCGGCGTGCGCGGCGGGCAGGGCGGCAGCGGCGGCGAGGGCGAGCAGCGCGGTGGCGGCGGCGGCCAGGGCGGCGGCGGCGTTCGCGCCCAGCACCCGACCCCACTTCCTCCTTCGGCGACGACGGCTGCCGCCGGGGCAGCTCCGCGGCGCACTTCCACTCTCCATGGCAAGCAGAACCGCACTGGCGGCGTGACGTCACCCTGGGCCCGCTAGCCCCTCGGCGGCGGCGGCGGCGGCGCGGGAGAAAGTCGCGTCAGCCCCCGCCCCCTGCGCCCCTTCCCCTCCGCCCGCCAGCTGATCGCCCCTCCCCTCCCGGCGCCTCCACGATGCAGCGCGCCCGCCAGCGACATCTCGCGGCCGACGCCTCCACTCGGCTTCCGGTGGGCGGCTCGGAGAAAGGCAAAGAGGAAAGGAAGGGATGAGAAAGCGTAAATCAAAGAAATAAACGACATGGAACAGAATGTCAAATAATGAGAGGCAAACATGGAAATGTAAGGATGTATCTGTGAGAGCAGTCTACGACGAATGCATACAATTGGTATAAAAGAGACTAAATTGTTCCATTCTTTTAAAGAATAAATCTTATCAAAGAAAAGAATGGCAATAGTAAGAGAACAAAGAAAGAAATTAGCGGTGAGGTGGAACAAAAAAAACGGTAACAGTTTGATAACTCAAACACAGTTTGAATTGAGTTTCTTGCTTCATTGGGCGTTGATATTCCCAGTTTCTAACCACAGGAATTAACCTACTCGAAAGAAAAAGTAGAAAAACTAAATATATGTTCTACATTACATATTAAAAAATTGTTTCATTACAGATTTTATGCGTTGAAAATAGTAAGAGTAAAATAGTAATCTACTAACTGGCTCGAAATTATACATGCCAATGCAAGCCGAATTTATGCATGCCAATGCTTAGATGTCAACATATATTCATTATGAAGACAAAACCTTCAAAAAATCTAATAAATATAATTAGTTTTTAATATATTTCATTTCAACAGCAAAAATCATTAACACCTCATATCACTGATCACGTCACGCGAAGTATGTAACATGAAAGGAAATACCAAAATCGTGAGTAATTTTATTGAATGTTACTAATTCACTATTTGTTGTTACTATGCTATAAATATTAACCTCCTGACTAACCCGATCCATAGGACGTTTGTAACATCAATGTCTCATTTCATCAAAATATATGAGTAAAAGAAATTTGTTCTTACCCCATTATTTTGAGATTCGTAATTATCCAAAATATACATTTTCTTTGTCATGCGAGGAGAATTTATTTAATATGTGAAATATATTTTTCCAATTGATGCCGACTGAACATAGTTCATGTAATTGAAACTAAAAGCTTCAGTAGAAAGAGAAGTTCTAGGTTAGAGTCCAGTTATATAGACACCGAATGGGTATTGTGATGGTTCTGATTTTTCCGTTAGTGAAATAAATCCACTAATAATGGAAGAACAGAAATATACATTTATTTATTTCAGGGTCGATGATTTTATGGTATACACCATAATCTTGAAAAGGTAACCCACCGTTTCATTAAATCAAAAAAAAGTTTCAAGATTCAAATCAAAACAAAACATATATTTATAACATTAAATAATACTTAGGAAAACAAACAACAACGGGAAAGAGATTTACACAAACAATGAAAATAAAAACAATTTTACGGTCCGTTCGTATTCCAATATACGTCCGCCGCGTGCACATGTCACGTGTAAAGGTCAAACCACTCACGTCCTTCCCAAATCCTTCAGCTCCTCCAAGACATGCACTCCCTGTCGACGATCTCAATCCTCACTTCCAACTGAACAACGCCTTATAGTTGACACAATTTCGTCGTCCACCCAATCGTACATCACATTACGCTCCGTAAGACGTTCATTCCAATTCTGGTTATTGATTTTTTTCTTATTTTTGAGAGTCTTGACTGTCACTATGATATCCGTCATATCATTTTTATACAGGTGTCAAGGAACATCGAAAGTGTTTGATTATCTTGACTCGTTACAGTATAAACCTACCTGCATGATTCGACAGGTTGTATAAACCTACCGGGTTGTGTAAACCTACCTGCAGAAATAATTAATCTATCTACGTAATATATGGGTGTTCTAGAGGCTTGTCGCACTGAATAGTCGTTTCAACAGACTCCTTTAATCAATTGGAGACAGGACCTTGGTCAAACAAGCCACAGACCGCGTGCAAACTTCCCCATCAAGTGCTCTTTGAATCCTTATGGCCAAGCGAACCTCCATCTTAATGACTCATACTTACCGATCGAGAAAATGTCACCCTGAAACATAATATTACGTGTTTCATTATATTACCGAAGAAATATTAAGATATTTAGAAAATATATAATGTTTGCTAAAATGATAACATGAACAATACAAGTAAGTTAATATATTAATGTTTACATATGTACTTTAATGTTTACATGGAAACAAATTAATCAGTTAGATTGTTTCTAAATTTGTGATTTTACCACAAGAAGGATTTCTCCAACGCGATATCTGTATGTGTAAGTGAAGCCATATACTCTGGTGCACGAAACTGAGAATGAGCATCGATGAACATGCATACACCTATCATCATTTCATTACATCGTAATGACATTTTTATTTGATGCTACATAAAAAAATACGATTACAATTTCTTGCTGTTTATGCTAGCATCTTAGACCTTTTCACACACATCTTCCTTCTGATGTTTTCCTTCACACGATTTCCCTGAGAGTCACGAACTGTGTTTGTGTCATGTTGTGTCAGCACATTGTCGAATCCTGGCACCTTGGCGAAAACCAATAGACAAAACCAAATGAATCATCATACAAATTTTGTTCAAATCAGATATTCCTACAACTGCAAAAAATGCTTAATGTGAGTATGTATTACCAATACTTCTATTGTATTGAGTATGCGCAATTTATTTGACAGCTAATTAAATTGAGGTATTTCATTTCAGATTTTCGCAGTATTTTTTTCATACACACCTAGGGGGAAGTATGTTTCTTGAATACATTTCTCCTTCTTGACGACATCTATATCGATTTAAATTTACGAGGATACTGTACATAAGACTACTATAACTTTCATGATGCTAGCCACTTTGCTGTATATTTCAAAAACTATGAAAAGTGTGCATGATTATCAAAACAGACTGTAAATATATCCCTGTTTTATATATTAGATGAGTAAACATATTCCAAGAGAATTCTATCTTAAGAAGAATACGTTGTTAGCATTACGCTACATTTATTTTTACTACACGCTCAGCATAAAAAATATTTTAATTCAAGGATATTTGCGCTACAACAATACTTTTCATAAATAATTTTTCCGAACAAGCTGCACTTGAGCATATTTATTATATTCATCCCGAAGGTTTCTGAAGTCTATTCAACAGCAAAAAAGGTTTGACAAACATCATTCTCACGATTTCGACATTGTTAAAGAATAACTCAAGGTTCCCCGAGAACTATTGTCAGTAAAAGATGTGAGTACATGAATCGTAAATACATCGCACGATGTAAAATGGAAATATTTACATAACACAATCAATACCAATAAATGGAAATAATTAAAATCCCACAAATTAATTTGTAGATGTACAAAGGAACTTTCACATGTAAAATATATTAACCTTAATTGAAATAATCAACTAATTTGTTATTTTTCTTATTCCCTCTCATAGGGAGCGCATGCCGATGTTCTAAAAGAAACGTTTGCCGGCTGCACATTAACTAAAGCAGATATGGTATATAGGTCATTTCTTGCAAACAGCGAGATTGAAACAGCCACAATAGAATACATTCGTATTCATGTCCTAAAATTAACATTTTAAAAATTCGCCAACGAGTTTTGCTCAAATAGAGCTGATAAAACTAAAATAAATAACGTAGTGAAATTTTCAAAATTTAGGTAAATACACGAAAATAAGTAATTTGGATAAATAAAAACGTAAAATATTTCTGTTGAAGAGAGAGGGAAACTCCGTGGATAATTTGGGCCTTGAGAAATCGTAAACATTCTCTAAAATATAAAACAACATTTAAATTTTTTTAAATATTTCGTTTCTATTTCCTATAAAAGGTTGTAAATGCTGAAGTTAGGATACAAGGATATCATTTTTGTCTATATTTGAATAAAAAGAAGCAGAAAACATTAGAAAATTTTGAAACTTTCTTAGACAATGTTTACATGTAACGTAAAACTAGGGTAAATCAAAAGTTCTTGGTATTTAAACAAGGTCATTAGCGACCTACCATAATCGAATTTCTAAATAATGATTTAGAACATTTAGTATTTTAGACTTAATATAAAAATAATAATAAGATAGAAAAATAGTACTTTAGATGATAAGCAAATAAACGAAACTAATTTTACAAAGATAATGAACTGATTTATTGATTGTTTTGTAATTCCGGGCACCCGGGATTACTACCCGGGACTAATGACCCGAACTACCAGGGTCATTAGTCCCCTAAGTGTAATGCAAATTGTTTTTGCTCGGGAGGTGGCTGTGATATTTTCCCCGCTGTATGGCGAGAACCGGCGCCGACCTACCGTCGGATAGAGGGGGGTTTTCCTAGCCAGGTATTTCCTACCAATGGGACACCGCCTCAGTCGGGACAAGCTCTTAGCTCCTGATGCGTCTCTCGGCATGTGTGGTAGTGTAGAGCGTGTGTGTGTGTGTGAGAGAGAGGAGAGAGAGTGAGTGTGTAAGGAGTGAGGATAGGACAAAGAAGAGGAAGGTGAGATGTCGCGCGGCCAGCGGTCTGTTTGTTAGCGTACTGCAGAAGGCCGCTAGCATTTTCCTCCAGACCACGACTAAATCCGACCTAGCTAACAAGTTAGTGTCGAAAATCCTGCCATCGTCGGGACTCGAACTTAGGACCTCCCGCTCAGAGGGACTGCAGATGATCTGTTGATGCCCTGAGCCATGTCTTCAGAAACAAAGATAATGAACAATATATGTCATTCGCAAAAGTTAATTCTGTAATGGAGGTGTACAGTGTTGGCAATAGTGAATTCTAGAATGCAAATAGACCGGATAGGGATTTGGAAAGGGAATGCGGGTAGTCATTCTCCCTGGAGAGGTGTGGCACAAATAAACAGCTGTATTCCCACGCCTTCGATTTTATCGATA